AAACAATTGCAAATAGCAGCTAACTTAATTCCTGTAACGTGTGTACTGCTAGGCATCTTTGGTTTCCTCTAAGTGAGTCACTTATCAAAAGTTGCTAAAAGCTGCCAAATAAATAAAGAAAAAAATAGCTAAATTTGTTGCTAGGTGCTTTGGGAACAGCACCTTTTCTTTGATGAACTCCCAGATGATCCTGGTCATCTCATCTCCGTCCATCTCCACCACCGGCTTCGCCACCTTGATACGTTTATCGGCATCTGTCAAATGAAACAAAAACATCTTTCCATGAGCCTGTTTTTCTTTCTATAAGGGACTATTTCTTCCCACTCATGAGACAACCGGAAATTAGTGGTTCCTCAAAGAGGAGAATAATAAAGACATATAAAGCCCCATTTACACCACCAGCGACTACGGAGTGCTTGCTAGTAACCGTTCCACGTTCTGGTTGCCCAAGAAAGAGTCTTGAATGTCACCACCACTAAAATGTCATTTTATGCTGACACTGACAACTTTTATGCTGCTAAATATCAGTATTATGGAGGGAAGAGATTGTGTATAAACTACACCCATGTATAATGCATCATATCAAAGATATATAAAAATCAACACCTGCTCTATACTACTGCAGTCATCTATCTGTGCCGAATGTACAAATGCTATCTGGGTCTACAAAAAAAAAATTAAAAAAAAAGGATATGTGTTGCATGCATCATCTTAACATCGTCTCTGTGCATGATCATAGGTATACATAAAACAGTGAAATTACAGTGTATGCAACACTGCTCTCTATAATCTAAACCAATTTTGTAATACAAGGCTATTCTTAAGATTATCATCATACACTACCGTTCAAAGGTTTGATGTCAGTAAGATTTTGAACACTTATTCAGCAAGGTTGCATTAGATAGATCAAAAGTGACAGTAAAGTTTTTCATTGACACACATTTTCTATTTTAAATAAATGCTGTTCTTTTGAACTTTCTATTCATCATAGAATTCTGAAAAATGTAACACCATTTCCACAAAATAGTAAGCATCACAACTGTTTTAACAGTGACAATAATAAAAAATAAAAAAACAGCATTTTAGAATGATTTCTAATGGATCATGTGACACTGAAGACTGGAGTAATGGCTGCTAACAATTAATCTTTGCCATCACAGGAATACGTTACTTTTTATAATATATTAAAATAGTAAAGCTATTTTAAATGTGAAAAATATTTCACAACATTACGGTTTAACTGTTTGTTGTTGTTGTTTTTTTTTTGTATCAAATAAATAGACTTAGTGAGCATAAGAGACTTCTCAAAAAAAAAAAAAAAACTACCAACCACAAACTTTTGAAAAGTAGTGTAAAAAAACATGCAATCTGCTGTTGACCTTCTTATGAACTATATAATTTCTTGATATTTATATTTACAACACAGTTTGCACTGTGGTTTTGTTACTTCTTGTTAGGGCTTGACAGTACAACTGTATACACCATCTCAACACTAGTGTTACAAAAAAGGTGAGAAAAAAAGGCATTAGCACATGGTTATTTCACATACTGTATGTAGTGCCCTTTAAAACTTCAAAAACACCCTAGGCAAAGTTTTGGACAATATGATCATAAGCTTTTATCATTTCTTGGCATAAATCCATTGAAGTAACTTGCAATTATCATTGAAGAACTGCAATTCATAATAATTGCAATCTAAACATTTGACAGCAAGACGTGCCGCCTTTGGCAGCTGTAATGCCTGATTACTGGATTAAACTGGCCCAGGTTGCATTATTAAAGATTATTGGGTTAGCATACTTTTAAAGCTTTACTGGCTGATTGCCAATTAAGGTTAATAGATTGCTTTATAAATAGTTCTAGTATTTTTCTATGTCCTGAATTCATTAGTTTTTGTTTTATTATAGGTTGTGTTGTCCATTATCAATGCAAAGTAATCACAAAATGATAAGGATTTATGCAGTTATTGTCCAAAACCCCACTTTACCTAAGGAGTTTCCAAACCATGATAATGATAATGATAAAGATAAATTACTCATACCACCCACTCCTGCTTGCTGCTAAAAGGACCTATTTGCAGCAATTTCATGTATTAAATGTCTTCTTTAGTGTTTCAAACACTTTTTTTATGCCACTGCTTTCCACTAAAGCAAGCAAGTAGAGGTCATCTCACTCTCCCCTTCTCTCAGTGGGGACAAAGCAGAGGAAGGAGGGGGAGGCATGGAGGGAATAAAGTGACTTTGTTACACTTGCCAAGTTCCTGCTAGAGAGCCACTCCATCTAAAAAGTCAGCAAAGCTGTCAAAAACAGTAAAAGAGTTCATAAAAGACAAGATGCTGTCAATAAAGCTTGGCATAATCACCTTTATAAGCACTGAGGGTAACACATTTACCATACACCACTGATGTAACACTTTATAAACTACATCTTCAAACTATTTCAGCAGCCACAGGTCACGTACATCAAGTCAAAGTTCAGACCCTGTGAACATTTCAATCAAGTTGAATTGCAGCATGACATATAAAGACATGTTTTATGCAACACATACTAATGCAAGAGCCTTATATAAAAGATAAATTAGAGTATTTCAGCAAATCCAAGATATCACCAACACTAAGCTAAAGAAGGGGCAGAAAAAAACATCTTTCAGATAGAGTTACTGCTTAGCACAGCTGTGTCAACCAAAAGTGCATTATGGGTAAGGCCTTTCACTTGAAACCTGACTGGGTTCATATACAAAAAATTACATAAACAGTGAATCCTGGGGAAAAGAATCTTCTCACTAGTCATAAGTGCTGGGACAGTGTGCTAAAGGGGGAGGATGAGTATATGGGCAGGATTATGTAAGCATGCTTCAATGCCCTGTTTCTAACAACACTGCAGCCATCTGCACAGCGAACAATTCCTCCCATGAACAATACATTTATGCCGAGCTGCGGCATGAACTAACATGCCATGATGGACTGCAGATAGCTCATGTTTCCTCTAACTTTCTCTGAAATCTCATCCAATGGGAAATAGAGAATCTGCAAAGAATGCTGAACAAGATCATGTGATCTACAATCCAATGGCCTTGAGTTAGGCCTATTCTTATTGGCAATTGAATGTGATAAAATAACATGCTTCACATGTATTGAGCATAAAATAGCACACTGCCACTTTACTCCTACACTACTGTACAATGGATGATACTCTGGCATTGCACTAGAATCCAGCTGGTGCCACATTACCTATTTTAAGAACCTTTTCTAAACACGTTTAAACACAAATAGTAGCTTCTAAACTACTATTTACTTTGAATGCAATAATGCTTAACCTAAATTAAATTTGTCAGTCTGATGAAGAGCCTGCATGCTCGAAATGTCACCTGTGTGATAGTCTCTTATTAAATTTTTGTATTTTTGGAGCTTAGGTGTCCCAAATTTTTTTGTTTCCATTATCAATTTATCCCTGTGGTTGCAAAACTGAGTTTATTAGCATCATTACTCCAGTCTTCAGCGTCACATGATCCTTCAGAAATCATTCTAATATGCTGATTTGGTGCCCAATAAACATTTATTACTATTATCAATGTTGAAAGCAGTTGTGCTGCTTAATATTTTTGTGGATATGTTATACTTTTTTTCAGGAATTTTTGATAAACAAAGTTCAAAAGAACAGCATTTATTTGAAATAGAAGTATTTCACAACATCATACATGTCTTTACTCTCACTTTTGATTTTTTTTTCAACTAAATAATAAACATGCATACTGACCTCAAACGTTTTAGCAGTAGTGCAAAAATAAATATTTAATGTCTTGTTACATGTTCTGCACCATGGCTCCTAGAACCACAGTATTTAATTTCTGTACCTCCAACTAAACTGGCGGTGCAACCAAGAAATAGTTTATTTAAAAATGTGTCATTTACACACTTAAATCATTCCAAATCCACAATGAGTAGATGATAGAATTTGTTTGCAAACTATTCCTTTTTAGCCTTATAACTAAAGGAAAAGGTCAAGTCAACCCACGTGTATCTAAGCCTCTACACAAAGCATGTGGTCAGCATATCATATCGCAAGTAATCCCTCCCACATGACCCTATGATTTTCAGTTGTCAAGGACATTTGCAAACATAAGCGTACACTTGTGCTCCACACTTGAAGGTCAGTAGTTAAAAAAAATCTATGAGGTGAGTATGTTCACATGGAGTCCTCACAAATCTTTTGGGCAAATGTTCTTATACTCTTTCCAACTGATGACCTACAAAAGTTGCTCAAGAGTGACCCGGAGAGAAAGTGGCTTAAATTAGATTCGATTTGACAAAGATGCTGCGCCATGGAGTTACTAAAATAAATATGTGAAATGACTAACCAGCTGGGTTGACAAAAGCAGATGTTCAGATGCTTCTCTTGAGAGTGAAAAAATACATCACTACACTCTAAAAAATGCTGGGTTAAATTTGTCCCTATTTTACCCAGCACTGGGCTGTATTTAACCCAGCATTTTTTAGCGTGTACTTAATAGAACAAATCTTTAATTTATAAAACATAATTTCACCCCCCCCAAAAAAATTTTTTTTTTTATATTTTTTTAAATACACAATATATAATATGACTGCATATCACATACATATAAATATGAAGAAATTATAAATTCAGGCATGAATATACACTCTAAGAAAAATGCTGGGTTAAAAAAAAAACAATTCTGGGTTATTTGGCAACCCAGCACTGGGTAAATATTAGACAGAACAGATGCTGGGTTATTTTGACCCAGCTAGTTGGGTTTTATACATTAACCCATTTACTGGGTTGTTTTTTTGACATAGTGCTGGGTCAGTCAACCTATTGAAGGTTTTTCATTTTAAATAACAAAAATGTAATTTAAAATCTGTTTTATATAGGACAAGAACAGTTCATATAGAATATTTTTTGTTCAATGTCAAGTCAGTCTTTTACAATCATGAAATCTTCAAAAACATTCAGTAAAGGTAGTGGGACGTGACAGGAGCAGCCAATGGGAATCTGTGGGAAGAAAACTGCTATCAGTAGGCTGTTCCAGTTTATTAAATGACATATATTCATTACTTATCTTATATTCATGTTTAAAAAGTTACATCAAAAACAGCTTTACCTCGTGCCATCTTGTCTGTCCGACATTTAAGTTTCAACCCGTCAAACACAGTGCGACCACAGCTGCAACAATGGCACACTAGATCAATAGCACTCCTGTTGTAGTCAGTGGAGCACACAGAAACTTTGTTACATATAACAGTGAAGTAGCGTCGTGTTTCAGCCCTGGTCGAGCATTAGTTTGACTGGAGGTGAAACTTCCGTGGTGGCACCGGGGCGACGTTCACTTTGAGTGTAGATCCAATGAATGCTGTGTTTGTAGAAGGCTAGAGTTCCAAGCAGATGTTAGCTGGGATGTACATTTCAACAAAAAAAAAGGAAATATGTTAGGCTACAGAAGTTTTCCTATTTATACAGAAATAATTTGATAGGAATACAATAATAGATACCTTAATTCCATTCAGAAAGTTTCCCGTCAGTCAAGTTTCTCTTAGGAGTTAGGACAGAACACAAAATGACCACTGACAAACATATCCAGTTTTAACCAGTTTGTCACAGACTACCCAACATTGGGTTACACTGACCCAGCGCTGGGTATGTGAGGGGGTACATCATTTGTATTGACTGTAAAAATTACCCAGCACCTGGGTAAAACAATATTAAAATTAACCCAATAAAATGACCCAACAATCTGAACCCAGCATTTGGGTTAAAAAAAATAACCCAGCATTTTTTAGAGTGTAAATAAATTAGATCAAGTTAAGTTTCAGAAAATGTCACAAAGGTTAATAAATGAGAAGTGTGGGCTACTCGCCTCTCCTTAACCAACCCATAACACCTCTTGGCAAAAGTCAAATCCAACCTTGTTGTGACTTTAATGAGAGAGAACATGCAAGTGTGCTTGGCATTGTGCCTGAACTGATGTTAATAAAGACAACCTGAAATGCAAGACAACTTCTTGATACAAGACCGCTATGCATTGCATAAACTGTGGATGACACTTCACCTATATTATAAACTTAATGAAAGACCCATAATCACCCAAAATGCCTTAGGGAACGAGGCATTCTAACACAACCATTCCGTGCCAAATCTCACGCCTTCTAATAAACTTGGCAATACGAATGTTTTAATGTGGTATGCCTCAAGTGCAAAAGGTTGGTTCTATCATCACATGTAGTCATTCGGATGTGATGCACGAGTCCTGGTGTTAATTAGAACCAGCCCATTCAGAGTAAAGGTGACCCAGAGGACACAAGGGCTGGTGTACGCCAAGTAAACCACCTACATTTGGACAATCCTCCATGACAACTGATTACCTAACACAGAGGAGCAGCTAGTGTCAGGACATGACACCTATTCATTCACAGCTGTGCCTGAGGTCCTGCTTTTCAGTTGTCCCTTGTTTCAAAGTAACACCCTAAGATACATGTTTCAGAAGACAACCCTTAATCGATCAGTAAGTCCAAACGTTAGTACAGTTGCTGCATCAAACAGGCATTTAAATCAATGCAGCCTCCATAACAAGTAGGGCATATAAAACTAGGGTGAAAAAATGTGCTATGGTTTAGTAGTCAAATATCATGCGTAATAAATCAGATAATGTGCTTGTTGGTCATTTACATCTTAATTGTCATGATCTGCACTCATCAATGGTAAAATAAGAGTAACGTTACCGACCAGGCCGGCTGACCTTGAAATGATTTCATAACGCAGTGCAAGCAAAACACAAGACAAAACCCCACATGAAGACTCAAATAACTGGTTACCGAATTATTTTACATCACAGAGCTGTTCGGTTGCATGTTTATAATTACATTTGCAGTATTTTAAGCGAGAATGGTTTCAAAAGTCCGCAGTCCTTGTGTGCAACCCATCCAGGGGATTCACTCGCCAAAAATACACTCAAATGACTCTTACAAAGCCGTCAAGGGGTTGCCTTTAAGAAACGATAACGTAAGCACAATGGTTTAAATGCAGCTAATATGTCGTTTTATGTTGCTCCTTTTTTAAAAGACATCGTATACGCGAACAAAGGAGCGCGACTTCTGCTAATGCTACCGAGCGATTCCCGCTGCACGTACAACGTCACCGCGAAAATAACACTGTGCTGTGGCGCTACTGAAGCCGCGAAGAGATGGAAATATGCAAGCTGGCGAACTGAGAAGAAACAGTCTGCAGCCGGCGTTTTCCGATACAAGCATGTGGCAGGGAGATTTCGATTTAAAAGCCCATCGTCTCAGATAAGCATTAACCGGTGTTAAAGCGCCGCTTAATGCGGCTTTATTGGCACATCTATAGACAACTGTGGAAGCGGAAAACTCACAGTTCCTCTGTTGCAAGAGAGCTGAGGACCTTCAGGTAACCTGCCATGTTTTTTTTTTCTCTCGCCTCAAACACTAGAGCTTGCTGCCCGACTTCACTCCGGTCGAAGGAAGGGTCGAATGAATCGGAGCATACAGCACTAAACGTAGCTCTTCTCCGCCTCCGTCTCTGGGCCGACGTCACCGTTACATGGGGTAAGGACTGAAACTCATCGATGCGGTGAATGGCCAACCATATGTCAATAAGCAACACATCGATGTTCCACCTGGTGACTTTTGATAACGCACAGTTTGCACGTTCCCTTTCATTCTGTTAACCCTTCACGGGCGTCCGGGGTTATTTCCGATTTTTTTTTTTACTTTTGGTGAATGTCCCCATTTTCAAAATTCTCAAAATAAAAATATAGCCTACTTTAAATTTCTGTATTACTTTCATTGAATGTCAGTATGTAAAAAAAAAAATGTATGTTGTTTTATTTGTGATTTTGGCATAAGTAAGACTATCTAAACGACACAGAACAGGCAGATAACCTCTTCTCATTCCGTTGTCTGGTTGCTGAGCAGCCCCGCTAATTTTAGACGGGTTGGGTTACTATACTGGGTGAAAGAATGGGAGGTGCGCAGTGTGATTGTGCGCATGCGTCGTATAGCTACTGCAGGTCACTTCAAGGTGCGGAATGCTAGAGTGTCTGGTTGAGTTGTTGTATCCTTTTAAATTATATTATATAATAGTGTTGTTGACAAATACTATTATACGTTTTATGTTCTGTTTCAGATCAAATACTGTGTTATGCAATTATTATATGAATATAATTTATTACACACACACACATATATTTATTAACACTCTTAATAGGCTACTTGTTGAAATTAGACAGTGTTGGCATTATCAATGTTCTCTGGCTCTGTGACAAATAAATCACCATTTCACAGTCTATTCTGTCCAAAGTCTTAGAAAAAAAAAAGAAAGTTCACATTTAAATTCCTCAAATACTTCACATGATTTTGACAAGGGAACAGACTGAGTAGGAAATTCCATAGCCTTTCCAGTTTATGTCTGTATTGTTGTCATGTCAGTCTAGGCTCATTCTAAAATTAAGCATGCAAATATTGCTCCACTGACCTACATGTCAATATGTTATCATTCAGAGGTCTGAAATATGTGTAGTTCACAGTGAATTGTTTACTCTACAGTGTTGGTCTGCTTACAGTACTCACTCTGCATACTAGGTCAAAGCCAAAAATAAATTTCACAGCTGGAACTGGTTCACCATTGAATTACTCCTCTGTACTTATAATTATGAACAACAGAACAGCGTGGTACTGATGAGAAGATTCGGTCATGTGGTTACATTTTAGGGCAGAAATAACAATGTGCCAATAGACACAACAGTATTTATCAGACAATATTTTATAGTAATAATAATAATAAAATATTTTTGTATTGATTGTTTTAGGCTTAAATGCTGTCTTAAGCTAACAATGTGTTTAAATAATGCCTTTTTATCCTTTTTATCATTTATAATCCATTTAGAAGAGAGATGTTACAGAATGTCCACCAGGGGTCAGTAAGAACTCATTATTACATTTTTTGTGAAGATGATAGAAAGGTTTCCAGTTCAGTTTTTAATGAGTATGTAACATACTCAAATTTCATACACCTACAGTGATTATATTTAGTTCGGTATGTTGTTACACATCCAGTATTGCGAGTTGTCTGTAACAGATTATTTGTATTGAGTGAAGTAATTTGTCATCCACAGAGGCGAACTTCATTACTTGAAAGTACAGATACTACTGGTCAAATACTACTCCACTACAAGTGAAAGTTGTAAAGACAGGTTTTTACTTAAGTAAAAGTACATGCATTGTTTTATTGTCACATTGTTGTATACTTACAATACCTTATGCCACTAATGAAACCTACTGAATACACTGATTAGCTTGTATTATCTTTGGAATTAAGAGCTTTTATGTTACCAAACCTATAGAAATGGAACAACTGAATGAAGATAATCAACTTTATTTTTTATTTACCACTCCTACAGCTACATTGAACTCATTTTAATACTTGTTTAAAAGTTACAAAGTTATTTTGACCTGTGTGATCATTTAACCTACTAAATGATCATTTGTTTGCAAAAAATATATGTATTTATGTGCAGTGTTTTGACAATAAAATAATGTTCAGATTTATATACTTCCTTAACCAGTTTTTAGCAGCAATTTACCAGTAGGCCTGAGTTGTAAGGTTTTTTATATATGGTAATAGCAGCCATTTTTGACGGATTTTTAATACTTGTTTAAAAGTTACAAAGTTATTTTTCAAAGAGATATCGAAGGCTATGATATGGTTCATTTTAGGCAAACAAAGCAAACATTGAAAAGAAAACTAATCTTTAGTCTTTTCAGAATACTGGAACATACTCTCTCAGTATGGCCATGGATGTGCAAGTTGAGCCAAAGAACCGTCTTTTTTAATTCTGACATCAACTGATCAGTGTTCATAAAATGCTCATAAATCAGTAAACGTCACAACATGTGGCTAGGGTTTGGTATTGTTTTCATTTTATCCATTCCGATTCTGATTCTGCTAATTGATTTCAATTCTTATCGATTCCCAGTGTAGATTCCAAAGTTGCAAAAAAGTGAAGTAAAACATTTTGACCTGTGTGATCATTTAACCTATTCT